TTTTTTTGGTGCAAGACACAGATACAAAATTTGTACCAATATCAGAGAATTAATTCTATCCACAATGAAAAATGCATTACATTTTCTAACAAACGCAACAGGAATTATTTGAAGATAAGCCCTCTTCCCCTTCCCCTACATTACTTTCCCCCTAGCATTTCTCATCAGCTGGCATATTGTTTATGTATTTCTTTATCATTATTGACTGTCTCCCCTACTAGACCGTAAGCTCCAGGAGGGCAGGACCGCTGATTTACTGCTCCGTCTCCTACCCCTAGAAGTCCACATGTAGTAGGCGCTCAGAAGGTAAGTGTTGAATGGATTGAAAACATGCACCCATTTCACCAATATAAACACTGATTTCTGAAAGGTCACTTCAACTGTGCAAACGCAGCAGGGTCCTTATTTCATACCCAGCTCTCTTCTCTGACCTCTGTGGACTAAGCAGATGTCCTGGGGTTGCTTAAACCCATTGCTGTTGAGTCAATTCTGACTCACAGCGACCCTAAAGGACAGAGTAGAACTGCCCCATAGGGTCTCCAAGACCGTAATCTTAATGGAAGCAGACTGCCACATCTTTCTCCTGCAGAGCGGCTGGTGGGTTTGAACCGCCGATCTTTCCGTTACCAGCCAAGTGCTTAGCCACTGGGCAACCAGGGCTCCTCTAGGGTTGCTTAGTCACTTGCTAATAGTGGCTTTGGACACCGTGGCTGTGGCAGCCCGCTGGGGTGGCCCCAGCCTGCTTTGTCCCATCAAGCAGAGTGGCAGTGGCGGTGGGTGTGAAGCTGTGGCTAAGAGGTTAACAGGGGAAGGACGCAGGCCGGCAGGTCTCATTCCAGCGACTCTCGCAATTGCCGTGTGTGTTGCTCCAGCTTCTTGGCCTCGGCCTGGAGGTGCTGCAGGGCCTCAGGGCTGGGGTACTGGAGCACGGCGTCCCTGGTGGCCAGCGCGAGTTTCCTGAGCAGGCTGCAGAGGTGGCTGCTGCAGCCCAGGATCTCGTTGCGCGCGTCCCGCTCCTGGGTCTCCTGGCACAGAGTGTCCACCAGCTTCTGCCCAGCCAGGATGACCAGCTTGCTCTGCGTGATGAAGGTCTCTGGGGGCTGGCCATTGCTGAGGCTGCTGGTCAGTACTCCGATGGCTTTGAAGAGAGCCCCAAAGTAGAGCCGGCAGTGTTCAGAGAGGTGGATTTTCTTCTCCAGATTCTGCTGACTCAAAGGCTGGGGTATCAGAGAACCGGGATTCTAGAGGAGGGCAGAAAACAGAGAGAAGAAAGAGATTCAATACGCAGGCTGTGGTTGCCTCTCTTTTCCTGTTTTTGCTCAATTTGCAAGACCTTTCATAAGAAAAAGTAGAGTTTTGTTGAGGAAGCCCAATACTGCAACATTTGCTTAGCACTTTAAAAGTTTTCAGAGTACATAGGAAAGGCCTGGTGATCTACTTCTGTAAGGTCACAGCCATAAAAACCCTATGGAGCACAGTTCTCTGAAAACATGGGGTCACCATAAGTCAGAATCAACTTGATCGCAATGGGTTTGATACATATATCAAATATATATTTAGCATATATCTATGTCAAATCCACCCAGAGGTGCTTTGGAAGAAAGGCCTTGTGATCTACTTACAAAAT